CCACTCGTTTTTACCTTCGGACTGCTTCCCATCAGGACAGAACACAGGGGTGGACAGAACACAGGGGTGGGCAGAGCACGGGTGGGCAGAGCACAGGGGTGGGCAGAACACAGGGGTGGGCAGAACACAGGGGTGGGCAGAAGCAGGGGCCCAGAGCACAACTTATTCTTGTTACACCAGCCGCAGCGGACCTTTCATTTGTAACACACCTAAGCCACGCGCACATTCCCACGTCCATCCACCTGGTTTGAAAGAACAGCTTGTGTGGTGCACACAGTGTGCACCGTCAAAGGCAGCTCATTGGCGCACAGCCACCTGGACTTGGCAGTTACGGCTGATCTCAGGGCCTCGAGACTCCCCGTGTGGCCTCGGGCTGCTGGCTGTTCCCCGCGGCCGGTCCTGTGCAGCATCTCTCTCCTTCCCCATCTTATTAACCAGACATGATGCTGAACAGGGGGTGCCTCCAGGAGAGAAGCAGTGACCCATTTACACAAATTCCCTAAGCACTATGGGAACCACAGGGGCATAGGGGGTACAACACTGAAAAGCAGCAAATGGGAATGGGGTGAGGGGTGGTTACCCGAGGCTTCATGTGTGTGCAAAGTTTTCTTGTAAAGCCAAAAGATGAAATATGGCAATGTAGTAACATTTAAAACCAAAAATGGTGGGTGTGGGTGTGATTCTGGGTTTTTCTAAGATAAACAGACTGCCAAACGCAAGAACGAGGGTCCCACAGGTATCTTCAACCACCAGCCCGAGTCAGCTAGTAACTGAGGACAGTTTACTTCACCCAAAGAATAGGAGCAGCTATTCACCGACTGCCAGGCACGCCCCACTAGACATCCACACGCTCATCTCCAACGCCAGGAGCTAGCATATCTCCATTTCACAGATGAGGAGACTGAGGCTCAGGAAGGTCTGATTCGCTGCCGGTGACGAAGCAGCCACATCGGGGTTCAAGGCCAGGTCCAGAGGCACCACCGTCCTGCCTGACCTGACACACTCGCACGGGCAGCTCCAGGGCAGGGACGGGCCACCCGGGCAAGGGGTCACGGGCCGTCTCGCCAGACCCATTCCTCTGTAAGGCACTACCCGCAGGTTCTCACAGAGGGGCTCCCGCCCACGTGGCGTTTCTGGGAGCCCAGGCCGGCACGGCACCTGCATTAACCGCTCATGTGGGCTCAGGTTGAAGAGCAGTCGCCAACCTTAACCGTCCCTCCCTCCAACAGGGCTGTGAACGTGAGGACCCAGGTCAGCCAAGTGCCAGAGCACCAGATCTGGTCACATGACGGGGTCCCAGCGCTAGCCACACGTCCTGACCCGGATGGAGGCCCAGTGAGAGGAAGTGCTTCATCCAATGAACACGTAAATAGGTGGGATAACAAACCATGTCTCTCTCTCACTCACTCTAAAATAAATAAATAAAGGCAAAAAATACATTGTGGGAGCGTTTTCCCACGCCTTAAGCGTATAAAGCAGGATCCTCTATGTCGCCCAAGCTCATAAAAGCCTGTACTGCCCTGGCGGACTGCTCAGTGGATAGAGCAACAGCCTGCAGACAAAGGTCCCGGGTTCGATCCCGGCCAAGGCCATGTAGTTGGTGGCGGGCTCCGCCCTAGCCAGGGTCCTGGTCAGGGCTCGTGCAGGAGGCAACCAAGCAATGTGTTTCTCTCACATCAATGTCTCTCTTCCACTCTCTCTAAAAATCAATGGAAAAATACCCTCAGGTGAGGATTAAAAAAATAAAAATAAACCCCATCCACTAGGCAGGCCCCTGCTCTCAGGAGGGCAGTAACCACAGGCAAGCGGGCACCTGCTGCCTCTCCGAGCAGCCCGCCTGTGAGCAGCAGCTTACAAACCGGTCACCGGGACCTGCCCACGTGACCCTGCCGTGCACACTTGAAGTCCACGTCAGTGGCTCCCCGTAACCGTCACAGGATCACTGGCAACCAGGCTTCAGGTGCTCTAGGTGGCGACCAGTCACCTAGTGCACCTAGGGTGACCCCCTCCACCCCACAGGGTAAACGTCGTAAAGCCTCAGGGCTGCACCCTACGACACCATTGGAAATACCCATCTCCACATCTTCGCCCAGCGTGTCCACGTGACGTGGGAGCAGGATGCCTGTGTGTAAGGTGGCGCTCCGGCTGTGCGTGGCAGCCACAGGCAACAGCAGAGCTCCAGCACCTGCAGGAGGCACCCTCCCTGCGGATGCAGCCAGGACGGGGAGAGGGGAGAGGGGTCTTACCGCTCCTGGCAGGGCTCACCTGCGTCTGAGCAACAGTGACGCCAACAGCGGACCCTCAGACGGAGGGCTGCCCAGTGGTTGG